ACAGCAGTTCATAACAACAGTTCAGAACAGCAGTTCATAACAGCAGTTCATAACAACAGTTCATAACAGCAGTTCATAACAGCAGTTCATAACAACAGTCCATAACAGCAGTTCTTAACAGCAGTTCATAACAACAGTCCATAACAACAGTCCATAACAACAGTCCATAACAGCAGTTCTAAACAGCAGTTCAGAACAGCAGTTCATAACAACAGTCCATAACAACAGTCCATAACAATAGTCCATAACAACAGTTCAGAACAGCAGTTCAGAACAGCAGTTCAGAACAGCAGTTCATAACAACAGTTCATAACAGCAGTTCATAACAGCGGTTCTTAACAACAGTTCATAACAGCAGTCCATAACAACAGTTCATAACAGCGGTTCTTAACAACAGTTCATAACAACAGTTCATAACAACAGTTCAGAACAACATTCCATAACAACAGTCCATAACAACAGTCCATAACAACAGTCCATAACAACAGTTCATAACAGCGGCTCTTAACAACAGTCCATAACAACAGTCCATAACAACAGTTCATAACAGCGGCTCTTAACAACAGTTCAGAACAGCAGTCCATAACAACAGTCCATAACAACAGTTCAGAACAGCAGTCCGTAACAACAGTCCATAACAACAGACATATAAAATATGTTTGTTTTTGAGTGAAGTTGATATGAGATAGACCAGTTGACCTGATGGGTTACAATACGCCACAAGGCTTTTAAACACGTGCAATCTGTTGGAACGGTTCAATGTGAATTTGGTCATCAACTGCAGTAACGGACCATAGCAGAATGCAGCAATGTGTTGTTTGTTGTATCACAGTAAGCTATTCAATAACCACATTAGGCTGGGTATCTGTAAAGCATTTTGTGACAACTGCTGATGTAAAAAGGGCTTGATAAAATAAATGTGATTTGAATTGGCAGCAGCAAACAGTGAGCGGGCATTCCGTTATTGCATGCAGTGGATCATTGTACTGTCAAGCTCCTGTTGTTATTTTTCAATGTGCGTAACAGAATGCAGACCTGGGTCATACTACTCACCATAATACAGCCCAAACACTGCAGAAACAGAATGCAGACCTGGGTCATACTACTCACCGTAATACAGCCCAAACACTGCAGAAACAGAATGCAGACCTGGGTCATACTACTCACCGTAATACAGCCCAAACACTGCAGCAGCTCCAGAGAAAGCACCGAGGAACTGGGCCACGACATAGACGGGGAACTTATAGAACTTGAGTTTTCCCAGGATCACCATGGCCAGGGAGACAGCAGGGTTCACATGGGCACCTGGGAGGGAAGAAAGAGGAAGGTGATTCCCCCATCCTATCTCCGATACCTCCTTCTCAACCATACGGGAGAAGAAGGACCTCCCCTCTGACCTTCGTCTCCAACGGGGCGGCCGGTAGCCTTGCAGCTAAGAACATTGGGCCAGTAACTGAAAGGTCGCTGGTTTGAAATCCCCATGCCGGCAAGGTGGAAAAATCTGCCATTCTGCCCTTGAGCAAGGCAGTTAACCCCCAACAACAACTGCTCGTTGTGGACGTTGATTAAGGTAATCCCCCCCTGCACCGCTCTGATTCAGAGGGGTTGGGTTAAATACTGAAGACACATTTCAGTTGAATACATTCAGTTGTACAACTGACTAGGTATCCACTTCCTGTTTTGAGAAGGAAGCAGAGGAGGGATGGAAATAGCCAATGAAAGAGGGGAGGTTGGAAAGATGGCCATCTACACTGTAAGGCCCAATCCCAAACCGACCCCTATGCACTTGTGGAGATACAGTATGAGAGGATTTGATTGGTATAAGCAATATGGTGAAACTTCCACTTAGCCAATCAGAGGGCAAGGTGGAGCTACTACCAGATTGATTGCAGCTGTCAAATCCTCTCAGATCTCCACAAGTGTGTCGGGTGTAGAGCAGGACTGCCCAACCCTGTTCCTGGAGAGCTACCGTCCTGTAGGTTCACTCCAACCCTGTTCCTGGAGAGCTACCGTCCTGTAGGTTAACCCCAACCCTGTTCCTGGAGAGCTACCGTCCTGTAGGTTAACTCCAACCCTGTTCCTGGAGTTCTCGCTCCAACCCTGTTCCTGGAGAGCTACCGTCCTGTAGGTTAACTCCCAACCCTGTTCCTGGAGAGCTACCGTCCTGTAGGTTAACTCCAACCCTGTTCCTGGAGAGCTACCGTCCTGTAGGTTAACTCCAACCCTGTTCCTGGAGAGCTACCGTCCTGTAGGTTAACTCCAACCCTGTTCCTGGAGAGCTACCGTCCTGTAGGTTAACTCCAACCCTGTTCCTGGAGAGCTACCGTCCTGTAGGTTAACTCCCAACCCTGTTCCTGGAGAGCTACCGTCCTGTAGGTTAACTCCCAACCCTGTTCCTGGAGAGCTACCATCCTGTAGGTTAACTCCCAACCCTGTTCCTGGAGAGCTACCGTCCTGTAGGTTAACTCCAACCCTGTTCCTGGAGAGCTACCGTCCTGTAGGTTAACTCCCAACCCTGTTCCTGGAGAGCTACCATCCTGTAGGTTAACTCCAACCCTGTTCCTGGAGAGCTACCGTCCTGTAGGTTAACTCCAACCCTGTTCCTGGAGAGCTACCGTCCTGTAGGTTAACTCCAACCCTGTTCCTGGAGAGCTACCGTCCTGTAGGTTAACTCCAACCCTGTTCCTGGAGAGCTACCGTCCTGTAGGTTTTCACTCCAACCCTGTTCCTGGAGAGCTACCGTCCTGTAGGTTAACTCCAACCCTGTTCCTGGAGAGCTACCGTCCTGTAGGTTAACTCCAACCCTGTTCCTGGAGAGCTACCGTCCTGTAGGTTAACTCCAACCCTGTTCCTGGAGAGCTACCGTCCTGTAGGTTAACTCCAACCCTGTTCCTGGAGAGCTACCGTCCTGTAGGTTAACTCCAACCCTGTTCCTGGAGAGCTACCGTCCTGTAGGTTAACTCCAACCCTGTTCCTGGAGAGCTACCGTCCTGTAGGTTAACTCCAACCCTGTTCCTGGAGAGCCACCGTCCTGTAGGTTAACTCCAACCCTGTTCCTGGAGAGCTACCGTCCTGTAGGTTAACTCCAACCCTGTTCCTGGAGAGCTACCGTCCTGTAGGTTAACTCCAACCCTGTTCCTGGAGAGCTACCGTCCTGTAGGTTAACTCCAACCCTGTTCCTGGAGAGCTACCGTCCTGTAGGTTAACTCCAACCCTGTTCCTGGAGAGCTACCGTCCTGTAGGTTTCCGCTCCAACCCTGTTCCTGGAGAGCTACCGTCCTGTAGGTTAACTCCAACCCTGTTCCTGGAGAGCTACCGTCCTGTAGGTTAACCCCAACCCTGTTCCTGGAGAGCTACCGTCCTGTAGGTTAACTCCAACCCTGTTCCTGGAGAGCTACCGTCCTGTAGGTTAACTCCAACCCTGTTCCTGGAGAGCTACCGTCCTGTAGGTTAACTCCAACCCTGTTCCTGGAGAGCTACCGTCCTGTAGGTTAACTCCAACCCTGTTCCTGGAGAGCTACCGTCCTGTAGGTTTCCGCTCCAACCCTGTTCCTGGAGAGCTACCGTCCTGTAGGTTAACTCCAACCCTGTTCCTGGAGAGCTACCGTCCTGTAGGTTAACCCCAACCCTGTTCCTGGAGAGCTACCGTCCTGTAGGTTAACTCCAACCCTGTTCCTGGAGAGCTACCGTCCTGTAGGTTAACTCCAACCCTGTTCCTGGAGAGCTACCGTCCTGTAGGTTAACTCCAACCCTGTTCCTGGAGAGCTACCGTCCTGTAGGTTAACTCCAACCCTGTTCCTGGAGAGCTACCGTCCTGTAGGTTTTCGCTCCAACCCTGTTCCTGGAGTTCTCGCTCCAACCCTGTTCCTGGAGAGCTACCGTCCTGTAGGTTAACTCCAACCCTGTTCCTGGAGTTCTCGCTCCAACCCTGTTCCTGGAGAGCTACCGTCCTGTAGGTTAACTCCAACCCTGTTCCTGGAGTTCTCGCTCCAACCCTGTTCCTGGAGAGCTACCGTCCTGTAGGTTTTCGCTCCAACCCTGTTCCTGGAGTTCTCGCTCCAACCCTGTTCCTGGAGAGCTACCGTCCTGTAGGTTAACTCCAACCCTGTTCCTGGAGAGCTACCGCCCTGTAGGTGTTAACTCCAACCCTGTTCCTGGAGAGGTACCGTCCTGTAGGTTTTCACTCCAACCCTGTTCCTGGAGAGCTACCGTCCTGTAGGTGTTAACTCCAACCCTGTTCCTGGAGAGCTACCGTCCTGTAGGTTAACTCCAACCCTGTTCCTGGAGAGCTACAGTCCTGTAGGTTCTTGCTCCAACCCTGTTCCTGGAGAGCTACCGTCCTGTAGGTTTCCGCTCCAACCCTGTTCCTGGAGAGCTACCGTCCTGTAGGTTAACTCCAACCCTGTTCCTGGAGAGCTACCGTCCTGTAGGTTAACTCCAACCCTGTTCCTGGAGAGCTACCGTCCTGTAGGTTCTCGCTCCAACCCTGTTCCTGGAGAGCTACCGTCCTGTAGGTTTACACTCCAACCCTGTTCCTGGAGAGCTACCGTCCTGTAGGTTCTTGCTCCAACCCTGTTCCTGGAGAGCTACCGTTCTGTAGGTTCTCGCTCCAACCCTGTTCCTGGAGAGCTACCGTCCTGTAGGTTAACTCCAACCCTGTTCCTGGAGAGCTACCGTCCTGTAGGTTAACTCCAACCCTGTTCCTGGAGAGGTACCGTCCTGTAGGTTCTCGCTCCAACCCTGTTCCTGGAGAGCTACCGTCCTGTAGGTTCTCGCACCAACCCTAATCTAGCACACCTGATTCTAATAATTAGCAGGTTGATAAAATGAATAGGATTAGTAACACCTGGGGTTGGAGCAAAAACCTACAGGAGGGTAGCTCTCCAGGAACAGGGTTGGGCAACCCTGGTGTAGAGCTTTGGGGTCGATTTGGGATTGGTTCAGTGGATAAAAGTGTCTGCTAAGTTGTACATTAGACCAACTATGCTCCCTGTTTCTCTTCACAATATGTAGAACGCTTGAGCATAAGCTTTAAACCTGCATGATGTTACTGTTGTTGTTCAACTCCCCCTCTGTGAATTATTTGTTGTATTCACTATCAGCCTAGCAGTGTGTTGGGGCTGGGATTGGTTTCTGTCATAGAGAGGCCACAGTCTGAGATCAATGGAGTTGGTAGGTCATTTACTGCCCAAGGTTATAAATGACCTCGATTGGGCTGAAACTTCAACAGGGCTAGGGGTGAGAAATGTAAATCAATCGCCAGTTGAGATTCGTTGGTTCGGGATTGGAGCTGGCACGTTCTGCATGGATGTAGAGCGTGGGGTGACAACATGACTGTTGATGAGGCTACAGGAGGTTATACTATTACAAAAACAATGTTTACGTTTTAGTAATTTAGCATTTAGCACAGCGTTTCCCAACCCTGGTCCTCCAGTACCCCCAGCAGTCATTTGGCACAGCGTTTCCCAACCCTGGTCCTCCAGTTCCCCCTACAGTGTTTCCCAACCCTGGTCCTCCAGTACCCCCAACAGCGTTTCCCAACCCTGGTCCTCCAGTACCCCCAACAGCGTTTCCCAACCCTGGTCCTCCAGTTCCCCCAACAGCGTTTCCCAACCCTGGTCCTCCAGTACCCCCAACAGCGTTTCCCAACCCTGGTCCTCCAGTACCCCCAACAGCGTTTCCCAACCCTGGTCCTCCAGTATCCCCAACAGTGTTTCCCAACCCTGGTCCTCCAGTACCCCCAACAGCGTTTCCCAACCCTGGTCCTCCAGTACCCCCAACAGTGTTTCCCAACCCTGGTCCTCCAGTACCCCCCAACAGTGTTTCCCAACCCTGGTCCTCCAGTACCCCCAACAGTGTTTCCCAACCCTGGTCCTCCAGTACCCCCCAACAGTGTTTCCCAACCCTGGTCCTCCAGTACCTCCAACAGCGTTTCCCAACCCTGGTCCTCCAGTACCCCCAACAGTGTTTCCCAACCCTGGTCCTCCAGTACCCCCCAACAGCGTTTCCCAACCCTGGTCCTCCAGTACCCCCAACAGTGTTTCCCAACCCTGGTCCTCCAGTACCCCCAGCAGTCATTTGGCACAGTGTTTCCCAACCCTGGTCCTCCAGTTCCCCCTACAGTGTTTCCCAACCCTGGTCCTCCAGTTCCCCCAACAGTGTTTCCCAACCCTGGTCCTCCAGTTCCCCCAACAGGAAGGTTCTGACGGAGAAGTGGTATCCATTCCGGAACCTTTTAAAAGGATTCAGAGGGCTGATACTGAACATAGTTCTGTACACACAGACTCATCTGCTCAAGTACGCATAACGCTGATAGAGCACGTGTTAAATGTATGTTATCACCACATTTATGTTACTATAGTACTATTGTAATTAAGATGGCAGCCCCCATTGATTGAACTGAATTCCAATATCCAATTTGAAGAGGAATTGATCGTAGCAAACTCCAATTAATAACAACACACCATTCATGACATAATAGTGCACAATGCACATGCACGTGCGTCTGCTTCATTTTCTCCGTATAGAGGAGCAAGCATGCATGTTATATTCACAACACAACTATCCATTCTAAAGCATTTTTCGGTCGACGTCTGAAAGCTTTCCTGTGTTCTTGCCGCTGCCTTATTCAGCCATGTATTGGGTGAGCTCATGATTTCAATGCAAAGTAGACCTCTTTGATACAAGTTTACTGGAACATTGAACTCTGGCAAAGTGGCAGAGAGAGAGTCTGTCACATGTATGTTGCTGCAGCACAGGCATTAAAAAAAATAATAATAATTTAACGCACGCAATTGGAGTGGTATTGTATAGTGTGATATCGTATTTACCTGACACTCCTCCGGCAACGTACACTGCCATCATCAGTCCTACAGAGAAGCCTATGTGGATGGTGAGCGTCTCCCCCATCGCATTACGACTCAGGACCGTCTGAGCAACAGACCCGACGCCAAACAACTAAACACAGAGATGATGAGGGGGAGGAAGAGTTAGTCCAAGCAAATATACATGAATCCCATTCAGTAACAGCACTATCAGTTACATTTAGTTAGTAAGAATTAGAATTCATTCTGATTACACTTTACTTACTTCACTACATTTTACTAACCCTAACCCTCATTTATTCATAACCCTAACCCTCATGTATTCATAACACTAACCCTAATGTATTCACAACCCTAACCCTAATTTATTAATAACCCTAACCCTCATTTAATCATAACCCTAACCATAATTTATTCATAACCCTAACCCTAATTTAATTACAACCCTAACCCTAATTTAATCATAACCCAAATGTATTCATAACCCTGATCCTAAATTATTCATAACCCTAACCATCATTTTTCATAACCCTAAACATAATTTAATCATAACCTCAACCCTAACCCTGATTTAATCATAATCCTGACCCAATTTAACCCTAAACCTAATTGAATCATAAGAAACAGCATGTATTTTAAAATGTAATTGTTCAATAAGATCAGTCATATTGAGGGGTTAAATAGGTAGTCCATGAAAGGCAATTTCTCACCAAAAACACATATTGAATATGAAGCCAGAATTACTTACAACCAAGATAAATGTCCCCAAGAACTCAGCCAGGAACTCCTTGAGTATCCCATGTTTCAGAGCATAGCGTTGCCTCATAGTTCTCATGCGTTTCATCTCCATGTATCACCGTGGTAACGTGCTGTCAGAAACGGGCGGTTGCTCAACAGTCTCTGTGTCTCTGGGGCATTGCTACACCCCCCCCACCACCTCCCAAACACTCCCACGTCCTCCACCCCGACCAGACACTAGTCTCCACCCATTCAGCATGTCTCATTGATCTCTAGTGTTCATACCCACGGCCATCGCTTTCACTCTGGCATCTCAAATAACTTCATGGTTTCAAGAGAGAGTGAGAGCAGGAGGAGTAAAATAGACATTTGGGGATAAAATTACACTGAACAAAAATAGAAGCGCAACATTGTAAAGTGTTGGTCCCATGTTTCATGAGCTGAAATAAAACATCCCAGAAATGTTGCATACGCACAAAAAGCTTATTTCTCTCAAATGTTGTGAACAAATTTGTTTACATCCCTGTTAGTGAGCGTTTCTCCTTTGCCAAGATGACAGGTGTGGCATATCAAGAAGCTGATTAAACAGCATGATCATTACGCAGGTGCACCTTGTGCTGGGGACAATTAAAGGCCACTTTAAAATTGCTGTTTTGTCACACAACACAATGCCACAGATGTCTTAAGTTTTGAGGGAGCATGCAATTGCCATGCTGACTGCAGGAATGTCCACCAGAGCTGTTGCCAGATAATTTAATGTAAATGTTTCTACAATACACTGCCTCCAACGTTGTTTTAGAGAATTTGGCAGTCCGTCCAACCGGCCTCACAACCGCAGACCACGTGTAACCATGCCAGCCCAGGACCTCCACCTCCGGCTTCTTCCCCTGCGGGATCGTCTGAGACCAGTCACCCGGACAGCTGATGAAACTGAGTATTTCTGTCTGTAATAAAGCCCTTTTGGGGGGAAAAACTAATTCTGATTGGCTGGGCCTGGCTCCCAAGTGGGTGGGCTTATGCCCTCCCAGGCCCACCCATGGCTGAGCCCCTGCCCGGTCCATAGATTAGGGCCTAATATATTTAATTCAATTGTTGCGTTAATATTTGTGTTCAGCATATACAAAAGTATGTGGACATCCCTTCAAATTTGTGTATTCGGCTATTTCAGCCACACCCGTTGCTGACAGATGTATAAAATCGAGCCACAGCCATGCAATCTCCATAGACAAACATTGGCAGTAGAATGGCCTTTCTGAAGAGCTCAGTGACTTTCAATGTGGCATCGTCATAGGATGCCACCTTTCCAACAAGTCAGTTCATCAAATTTCTGCCCTGCTAGAGCTGCCCCGGTCAACTGTAAGTGCTGTTATTGTGAAGTGGAAACGTCTAGGAGCAACAACGGCTCAGCCACGAAGTGGTAGGCCACACAAGCTCACAGAACGGGACCGCCGTGTGCTGAAGCACGTAAAAATCGTCTGTCCTCACTTGCAACACTCACTAACGAGTTCCAAACTGCCTCTGGAAGCAACGTCAGCACAATAACTGTTCATCGGGAGCATCATGAAATGGGTTTCCATGACCGGGCAGCTGCACACAAGCCTAAGATCAACATGAGCAATGCAAAGCGTTGGCTGGAGTGGTGTGAAGCTCGCCACCATTGGACTCTATAGCAGTGGAAATGTGTTCTCTGGAGTGATTAATCACACTTCACCATCTTGTAGTCCGAAGGACGAATCTGGGTTTGGCGGATACCAGGAGAATGCTGCCTGCCCCAATGCATAGTGCCAACTGTAAAGTTTGGTGGAGGAGGAATAATGGTCTGGGGCTGTTTTTCATGGTCCGGGCTAGGCCTCTTAGTTCCAATGAAGGGAAATCTTAACGCTACTTTCCTGTTTCAGCATGACAATGCCCCCGTGTACAAAGCGAGGTCCATACAGAAATGGTTTGTCGAGATCGGTGGGGAAGAATTTGACTGGCCTGCACAGAGCCCTGACCTCGACCCCATCGAACACCATTGGGATGAATTTGAACGCTGACTGCGAGCCAGGTCTAATTGCCAAACATCAACGCCCGACCTCACTAATGCTCTTGTGGCTGAGTGGAAGCAAGTCCCCGCAGCAATGTTCCAACATCTAGTGGAAAGCCTTCCCAGAAGACTGGAGGCTGTTATAGCAGCAAAGGGGGAACCAACTCCATATTTATGCCCATGACTTTGGAATGAGATGTTCGACGAGCAGGTGTCCACATACTGCTGGTCATGTAGTGTTTCACTGTCACAGGAAGTAACAGGTTTCTGAATGTTGTTGCTGTTAAGGCTGGCTACCTGCACATATATTTATTATATATTTTAATAAAAACAAGTATTTTGTAGTTTATTTTGATGTTTATGGTATTTTGATATTGTATTTTGTCATTTCTGCACCCAGTTGACTAAATAAAAATGGCGAAAGCCCTCAATGGCGCTTCCCATGCTAACACAGGCTTTTGGCCACTAGAGGCCTCCATACAGCTCCTGGGCCTGGACACACAGTAGGTTGGGTTAGGTTTCAATTATAAATCAATCCTAACGTGACTTGGATTTTAAAGGATAAGTGCCTAGACTGGTGCAAGAAATATGGTAGAAGGACCCTCTCTCTGTTTACAACGATCCAAGGCTTTTTTTTTTTTACTTTTAGTAGTAGATGTAAAGAAGAATCAAGTACCTTTACCTTTATCTAACAACTACTGAAGTCATGGCACATTTGACAAAGAGATAATGTAAACAAATAAGGTTAATACAAACAGCAATACAACCCTTCTTCACAAATCTATCAGTACACAGCCAGCTTGTGTATGTGTGTGTGTGTGTGTGTGTTAGTGTGTGTGTGTGTGTGTTAGTGTGTATGTGTCTGTGTGTTTCTGTTCAACCAAATAAGTTTCTCAAGCCTGATGACAGTTGTCCACACAGAGAATATTCTCTCCAGGAAGTGTTGGGATGCAGGGGAAGACACCAGATCCAGAACCACAGGGAACAGATTAGATCAAACAGCCATCCTGTCAGAACTGGAGAGGTGACTCTGTAAACATGACCTCCTTTACCTTCCTCTGCAGTTCACACAAGGCACTTAACGCCCTGCCCGGTTGACCCTCTGGCTGGACAATGCCCTCAGACACAATCTTTGATGCGAGGAAGCTATATTTCTGAAGCGCTATGGTTCGAGATGCTTGCTGGATTCATCGTGCTGGCATCTTCCTGGGGTACTGATGCTCCCCACGGGTGTTCTAGCTTGGCCCAGTCACGCTCCGTGCTCGGCCTCAGATTTCTTCCCTGTTAGCTAGTGATAGCGACGCACAAGCCTTTTTGATTACATCGGCATCTACTGGCAGCATTTATAATTCAGATTCAGAATGTCAAAAAAAAAACTTTAGAAGTTGAGAAGAACAAAAAACAAAAACGTTTTTATTTTATTTTAGTCTGTTTTGCAGTCAAAGAAAATCGTTTCAGAATAGTTTGTTTTGAACTTATTTTTATTTCAGTTTTACTAAATCGTTTTTCAAATTTTAGTTTTTATTTTAGTTTCAGTTTTCGTTTACTGTAATAACCTTGATGTTTAGAATTGCAGGATATTAGTTTTAAAGCTGCAACAACACAAAAAATCTCTGCCCAATGACAGAATGTGTAGAATTGTAGAACATTTACCTGAAAAAGGCTAAACTTTCTCTCCGATGCCTTTTTTCCCCAATGCTTTTAAAAATAAAAATAAAAAATCTGTGCCTGAGACTTGGTTCGTCCAGCCCATGCACTGCAGAAGTCATAGTAAAACTCCTTGTAGACTATTTTTTATCACTCTTGAGTTGTGTTCTAGTTATGAGGGGGTCCCTGAGAGCCCCGGCTATAACGTGTGGGGGGGGGACAGGTAGAGAACAGGAGGGGTTCCTAACCAGGTGGGTGGAGAACAGGAGGGGTTCCTAACCAGGTGGGTAGAGAACAGGAGGGGTTCCTAACCAGGTGGGTGGGGGTGGAGAACAGGAGGGGTTCCTAACCAGGTGGGTGGAGAACAGGAGGGGTTCCTAACCAGGTGGGTGGAGAACAGGAGGGGTTCCTAACCAGGTGGGAGGGGTTCCTAACCAGGTGGGTGGAGAACAGGAGGGGTTCCTAACCAGGTGGGTAGAGAACAGGAGGGGTTCCTAACCAGGTGGGTGGAGAACAGGAGGGGTTCCTAACCAGGTGGGTAGAGAACAGGAGGGGTTCCTAACCAGGTGGGTGGAGAACAGGAGGGGTTCCTAACCAGGTGGGTAGAGAACAGGAGGGGTTCCTAACCAGGTGGGGGGAGAACAGGAGGGGTTCCTAACCAGGTGGGTGGAGAACAGGAGGGGTTCCTAACCAGGTGGGTGGAGAACAGGAGGGGTTCCTAACCAGGTGGGTAGAGAACAGGAGGGGTTCCTAACCAGGTGGGTGGATTGCATAAGGTGTGAAATGGGGGAGGGTGTGAGTGTGGGGGACACTGTATGAGAAATCCTGAGATACCTTAGAACCTTGCAGATATACAGCCTGTTTTCATCATATATTTCACACAAATTAGTTAATAGATAACCTTTATTTATTCATAGGTTAAATACATAATGCAAATAAAAGATGATGGGAGCACACAATATAGTCATTGACTGTTTTATGATGGTGAAAAGTGAAAACATTGCTTTGCATTAGTGTTCTTTCTCCTGGAACTGCATGGAACTCTGCAGTTTTAGAAAAAGCCACTGGATGGCAGTCTAGAGCAAAGGGTTATGAAGTCCACAGATAGGCCTAGACCCACACCTTGAGTTGTACATGGAAACGTTGTTAATGAGAAACTTCTGCACTGCTTTTCAATCCCAAGTCCTCACAGTGATTTACCGTCCCTTTGTGAGAATCAGAACATCTGTTTTTGACTTGACCGCTTTTATTCTTCCCACCAGGCTGTAGTCAGCGCATCACAACATGTCACCAAGGACAGGAAGACGTGGAAGGAGCTCCTTGTGACCCAGTGGGAATGAAGAGCTCCATGCGACCTTGTGACCCGGTGGGAATGAAGAGCTCCATGCGACCCGGCGGGAATGAAGAGCTCCATGCGACCTTGTGACCCGGTGGGAATGAAGAGCTCCATGCGACCTTGTGACCCAGTGGGAATGAAGAGCTCCATGCGACCTTGTGACCCAGTGGGAATGAAGAGCTCCATGCGACCTTGTGACCCAGTGGGAATGAAGAGCTCCATGCGACCTTGTGACCCGGTGGGAATGAAGAGCTCCATGCGACCTTGTGACCCGGTGGGAATGAAGAGCTCCATGCGACCTTGTGACCCGGTGGGAATGAAGAGCTCCATGCGACCTTGTGACCCGGTGGGAATGAAGAGCTCCATGCGACCTTGTGACCCGGTGGGAATGAAGAGCTCCTTAAGTAAGTACTGTAGTATGTAAGTTAGTGCATCTTTCAGTCAGAGTTGACGTCATCTTCAAAGACAGCATCATCATCCTTCTCCATCATCAGGAGCGGCGCTGATTTCTGTTGCTTACGCCTGGGGAAAAAAAAGCACATTTCAGGAGAAGCATTATAAAAACGACAGTAATGCAGGGTACAAAAAACTAGTCATAAATGAAAGATACATTACCCCACACACTGTTGCATTTAACTCACCTCATCTCTGAGCGCAGGGCGTTGAGCTGACTCAGTATCTGGTCGTTAGTCTCCAGCTGTTCATCCAGATCTCTCTGTAACTTCCTCTTAGAGTTTTCCAGACGCTCTATCTCCTCCTCAGCCCCGTCCATCTGTCTCTTCGCTGTCTTCAGCCTCTGGTTCAGCTAAGAGAGGAGAGGGGGGTTACATTACATTTACATTTTAGTCATTTAGCAGACGTTCTTATCCAGAGCGACTTACAGTTAGTGAGTGCATACATTATTTTTATTTTTCATATTTCCCCCCCCCCCCGTGGGAATCGAACCCACAACCCTGGCGTTGCAAACGCCATGCTCTACCAACTGAGCTACATCCCTGCCGGCCATTCCCTCCCCTACCCTGGATGACGCTGGGCCAATTGTGCGCCGCCCCATGGGTCTCCCGGTCGAGGCCGGCTACGACAGTGCCTGGATTCGGACCAGGATCTCTAGTGGCACAGCTAGCACTGCGATGCAGTGCCTTAGACCACTGTGCCACTCGGTTACAGTACATAGTTTTAACTATGATGTGTTTACCAGTGTTACACCAACCTGTCCTCGAACCAGAGACCCTCTGAACACATCGACAACTGTCACCCATGAAGCATTGTTACCTATCGCTCCACAAAAGCCGCGGTCCTTGTGGAGCAAAGGGAAACAACTACTTCAAGGTCTCAGAGCGGGTGACGTCACCGATTGAAATGCTACTAGCGCGCACTTCTAACTAGCTAGCCGTTTAGTACCTGTCTGTCTTCAGCTTCTGGGTCAGCTATAAGACGTGTACGTAGGTAGGATGTTCATGAAAGTCCTCAAAGGATGTGAATTACTTTGACTCACCTGTGTCTTCCTGTAACTCTGGTAACACTTTATTTGAATTGGCCACTTGACGTCCAGAGACATAAGATGTCATGACATCTTAAAACATTTGTAATTTTATTACGACACTGTTAAAGCTACTATTTTTAATTGACTGTAGGTGTTACACTTTACCTGGTGTTACAGGCTTTGGTTTTTCCATTTATATTTTGAGGTTCGACGTTAGCACGTTAGCACGTTGGGTGCACCGATTGGTGTCACCTCATTAGTCAGTGTGTGTTACACCTGTGCTGGCATGTCTTCTCGTTAGTCAGAAGGTGTTTCACCTGTGCTGGCCCAGGTGCTATTTAAGAGTGGCTGGCCCAGTGCTCCAGTTGTCTTGAGAGACATGGAGGGTCAACATCTTTAGTTGTCTTGATAGACGTGGAGGGTCAACATCTTTAGTTGTCTTGATAGACGTGGAGGGTCAACATCTTTAGTTGTCTTGAGAGATGTGGAGGGTCAACATCTTTAGTTGTCTTGATAGACGTGGAGGGTCAACATCTTTAGTTGTCTTGAGAGATGTGGAGGGTCAACATCTTTAGTTGTCTTGATAGACGTGGAGGGTCAACATCTTTAGTTGTCTTGGTAGACATGGAGGGTCAACATCTTTAGTTGTCTTGATAGACGTGGAGGGTCAACATCTTTAGTTTTCTTGAGAGATGTGGAGGGTCAACATCTTTAGTTGTCTTGAGAGACATGGAGGGTCAACATCTTTAGTTGTCTTGAGAGACGTGGAGGGTCAACATCTTTAGTTGTCTTGATAGATGTGGAGGGTCAACATCTTTAGTTGTCTTGGTAGACGTGGAGGGTCAACATCTTTAGTTGTCTTGATAGACGTGGAGGGTCAACATCTTTAGTTGTCTTGAGAGATGTGGAGGGTCAACATCTTTAGTTGTCTTGATAGACGTGGAGGGTCAACATCTTTAGTTGTCTTGAGAGATGTAGAGGGTCAACATCTTTAGTTGTCTTGATAGACATGGAGGGTCAACATCTTTAGTTGTCTTGAGAGATGTGGAGGGTCAACATCTTTAGTTGTCTTGATAGACGTGGAGGGTCAACATCTTTAGTTGTCTTGAGAGATGTAGAGGGTCAACATCTTTAGTTGTCTTGATAGACATGGAGGGTTAACACCTTTAGTTGTCTTGATATATGTGGAGGGTCAACATCTTTAGTTGTCTTGATAGACATGGAGGGTCAACATCTTTAGTTGTCTTGATAGACGTGGAGGGTCAACATCTTTAGTTGTCTTGAGAGACATGGAGGGTTAACACCTTTAGTTGTCTTGATATATGTGGAGGGTCAACATCTTTAGTTGTCTTGATAGACATGGAGGGTCAACATCTTTAGTTGTCTTGATAGACGTGGAGGGTCAACATCTTTAGGTTTCTTGATAGATGTGGAGGTTTAACATCTTTAGGTTTCTTGATAGATGTGGAGGTTTAACATCTTTAGTTGTCTTGGTAGATGTGGAGGGTTAACATCTTTAGTTGTCTTGGTAGATGTGGAGGGTTAACATCTTTAGTTGTCTTGGTAGATGTGGAGGGTTAACATCTTTAGTTGTCTTGTTAGATGTGGAGGGTTAACATCCTTAGTTGTCTTGGTAGATGTGGAGGGTTAATATATTTAGTTGTCTTGAGAGATGTGGAGGGTTAACATCTTTAGTTGTCTTGGTAGATGTGGAGGGTCAACATCTTTAGTTCTCTCTCCCTATTTTATATAATACAAAAAAAAAAATTGCTTCCTGTCTTTAAGTTTGGGGTTTTTCTTTTGTCTGCCTCTTCTTGGGAAGATTAGTGGGCGCTCATGGTGGGTGTCTTTTAGGTTCCAGTTGTTGTGGCTAGTCAACTTCCAGTGGACACCCCCATGAGTGTCTTTCAGAACCCCTTCTAGAACCCCACCTGCTCAGTTTTGGTCGTTGTCAGTGACTCTTTGTTAGTTCCCCCTTCTGTTTGAGAGACATTTTTGGTTTTCTTGCTGGGGAACGCAACACTGGTGTTTCTGGTTCTGCATAGATATGTGTTCATCATCCACTTTACCTGGTCTTTCTGGTTCTGCATAGATATGTGTTCATCATCCACTTGCATCATCATCTCCTTCACTTTTCTCTCTAGTTTCCTGTTGGCTTGTTGCAGGTTGATGTTGTCTCTGAGAAGAAAATATGAAACCCTGTAAGACACTCATGATCATAGCCCTCAACACCAACTAAACATTCAACCTTGTCAGACACTCATGATCATAGTCCTCAACACCATCTAAACATTCAACCTTGTCAGACACTCATGATCATAGCCCTCAACACCAACTAAACATTCAACCTTGTCAGACACTCATGATCATAGCCCTCAACACCAACTAAACATTCAATCCTGTCAAACACTCATGATCATAGCCCTCAACACCAACTAAACATTCATCCCTGTCAGACACTCATGATTATAGCCTTTAACACCATCTAAACATTAAACTCTTGTACCGTAGATGCCTTGTCATTGCTGTACTGGCGGTGATGTATTTGAACCACAGCATTGTAATAAACCAAGGGAAGAATCGAACTAGCTAAATTGTAGTCCAGGCCCAGGGTTGAGCACGCTAACAACTGCGCCAAGAAAGATAGCTCCCTTGGGGGAATGAGGAATAGTGCTTATCAACGGCGGGATCACTTCAGTATATTTAACACCTCTCCTCTCTCTCCAGTCTCCCCTCCACCTCACCTCTCATCTCCTCTCCCATCCACCCCTTCTCTCCCCCTCTCATCTCCCCTCCACCTCACCTCATCTCTCCCCTTCACCTCACCTCTCATCTCCTCAACCTTCCACTTCTCCTCCCTGCACCTCCCTACAACGTCTCCCTCTCCCTGCCAGCCTCAGCTCTCCTCTCCCTGCAGCCCCCGCTCCACCTCAACTCTCCAGTTCCCCTCCATCTCTCCTCTCCTCTCCACTCAACCGCACCTCTCCTCTCTCTCCAGCCTCCCCTCCACTTCACCTCTCCTTTCCACCTCTCCCCTCCATCTCACCTCAATCTCACCTCTCCTCTCCCCTCCCCTCACTCCTCTCCCCTCCACCTCACACCTCTCCCCTCCACCTCTCATCTCCCTCTCCTCCTCCCCTCCACCTCTCATCTCCTCTCCCCCTCCACCTCCCTCTCCCTCCACCTCACCCTCTCCCCTGACACCCTCACTCGCCCTCCACCCGCTCATCTCCTCCTCTCTCCTCTCCCCTTCCACCTCCCCTCTCCTCTCTCTCCACCTCCCCTCCACCTCATCCTCTCCTCTCCTTTCCCCTCTCATCTCCACCTCACACCTCACCTCTGTCCCCTCCCCCCGCCACCTTTCTGCCTCTCCCCTGCAGCCTGCAGCCTCGCTCACCCCTCCCTCCATCTCTCATCTCTCTCCCCTCCTACCTCCACCTCTCCCGCACTGCAGCCTCAGCTCTGCCTCTCCCTTCAGCCCCGCTCCACCTCACCTTTCCGTTCCCCCCTCCACCGCCCCTCCAGCGCACCATCTCTTCTCCCTCCAGCTTCCCCTACACCTCTCCTCTCCCCTCCACTTCACCTCTCCTCTATCCTAAACCTCACCTCTCATCTCCTCTCCCCTCCACCTTTCATATCCTCTCCCTGCAGCCTCACCTCTCCTCTCCCTCCACCCCACACCTATTTTCTCCCTCCAGCCTCACCTCTCTTCTCCCTCCAGCATCCCCTACACCTCTCCTCTCCCCTCCACCTCACCTCTCATCTCCTCTCCCCTCCACCTCTCATCTCCTCTCCCTCAAGCCTTCACCTCTCCTCTCCCTCCAGCCTCACCTCTCCTTCCTCCAGCCTAATCTCCTCCTCTCCCTCCAGCCATCACCTCTTCCTCCCCCTGCAGCTTCAAACTATATCCTCTGTCCCTCCTACCTCCAGCCTCCAGCCTCACCTTCTGTTCTCCTCTCCTGCGGTCCTCACCTCTCCTCTCCTCCAGCCTCACCCTCTCCTCTCCTCCCTCCATCACTCAACGCTCTCCTCTTCCCCTCCACCTCCAATCTCCGCTCCCTGCAGCCTCATCCCTCTCCGCCAGACTCACCTCTCCTCTCCCTCCAGACTCCACCTCCTCCTCTCCCTCCAGCCTCCCTCTCCTCTCCCTCCAGCCTCACCTCCTCCTCTCCCTCACCTCTCATCTCCTCTCCCTGCAGCCTCACCTCTCCTCTCCCTCCAGCCTCATCTCCTCTCCCCCCTCACGCCTCACCTCCCTCTCCCTCCATCCTCAAACCTCTCCGCTCCTCCTCTCCCCTCACCCTCCACCTCACCTCCTCCTCAATCTCCTCCTCCTACTCTTCTCTCCCTCCCAACCCCTCTCCTCTCCTCTTACCCACTTCAGGCCATCACCTCAGTCCTCTCACCACCTCTCCTGCTCCCCCCCACCTCACGCTCTCATCTCGCTCTCCGACCGTCCACCTCGCAGTCTCCTCGTCCGCTCCATCACCTCCATCCTCACCTCTCGCTCTCCTTCCCTCCTCCCAACACAGTGAAGAAAAAACGCTCTCCTCTCCCCCTCCCACCCTCTCATCTCGCTCTCCCTTCATCCATCGCCCACCTCTCCTCTCCCTTCCATCCTCATCTTCTGCCTCTCCCTCCAACTCACCTCTCCTCTCCCTCCACCTCCTCACCTCTCCTCTCCCTCAGCCTCACCTCTCCTTCTCCCCTCCACCTCTCTCTTCTCCCTGCAGCCTCATCTCCTATGCCTCCAGCCTCACCTCTCCTCTCCCTCCAGACTCCACTCTCCTCTCCCTCCAGCCTCACCTCTCCTCTCCCCTCCACCTCCTCTCATCACCTCTTCCCTTCAGCCTCAACCTCTCCTCTCCCTCCAGCCTCACCCGTCCTCTTCTCCCCTCCACCTCACCGTCTCATCCCTCTCCACCTCCACCTCTCTACTCTCCTCCTCCCTGCAAGCCTCACCTCACTCCTCTCCTCCAGCCTCATCTCACCTCTCCCTCCAGCCTCACCTCTCCTCTCCCTCCAGCCTCACCTCTCCTCTCCCTCCAGCCTCACCTCTCCTCTCCCTCCAGCCTCACCTCTCCTCTCCCTCCAGCCTCACCTCTCCTCTGCCCCAGCCCACACCTCTCCTCTGCCCTGCAAGCCTCATCTCTCTCTCCCTCGCCCTCCAGCCAGCACCTCTCCTCTCCCTCCTCCTCACCTCTCCTCTGCCTCAGCCCATCACCTCTCCCTCTCCCTCCACCTCACCTCTCCTCTCTGCCTCCAGCATCACCGCCTCACCCTCTCCTCTCCCTCCACAGCCCTCACCTCTCCTCTCCCTGCGCCTGGTCACCTCTCCTTCCTGCCCTCATCTCTCTCTCCTCTCCCTCCACCTACCCTCTCCTCTCCCTGCAGCCATCCTCCTCTCTCCCCTCCCTCCAGCCTCAGCCTCTCCCTCCCTCCCGCCTCACCCTCTCCTCTCCCTTTCCAGGCCTCACCTCCCTCTCCCTCCAGCCTCACCTCTCCTCTGCCTCCGCCTCACCTCTCCTCTCCACCTCCAGCCTCACCTCTTCCTCCTCCCTGCAAGCCTCACCTCACCGTCTCCTCTCCTCCAGTCTCCCTCCTCCTCTCTCCCCCTGCAGCCTCATACCTCTCCTCTCCCGCCATCCTCACCTCTCCTCTCCCTCACAGCCTCACCTCATCCTCGTTGCCTTCCAGCCTCAACACCTCGTCCTCTGTCCTCTGCCTCCAGCCCTCACCTCTCCTCTCCCTACCGGAGCCTCACCTCTGAGATCCTCCTCTAGCTCAAGCCTCCACATCCTCACCTCTCCCTGCTCCCCTTCCTCCAGCCTCACCTCTCCTCTCCCTCCAAGCCTCACCTCTCCTCTCCCTCCGCCTCACCTCTCCTCTCTCCCTGCAGCCCTCACCTCTCCTCTTCCTCCGCCTCACCATCTCTCCTCCTCCCTGCACCATCCTCACCATCACCTCTCCTCTCCCTGCCAGTCTCCCCCTCCAGCATCCTGGCTTACCCTTTCCCTCCAGTCGGGAGACCAACAACATCTTGGTTGGACTTCTGGGTGCCCTCTAGATGAGACACCTACCCGCTCTGCAGTCTTTATTCTGTAGAGAACATCCGGGTGGAGGCAAGGACATACTGGTATCGTAGGGCCGGACAATGGGGTCCTCTATGGGAGGTTCAACCATCAACTGTAGAGAGATTTGGTGATGTCACAGAGGTTAAAACCTACCTGTCTCTCCAAGGTGATCTTGTCACACTCCAGGTCCTGTCTGACTGCTCTCTCCTGCAGCAGCTCACTTCTTATCTGCTCCATCTGTCAGATAAGGAAACCATGAATAGACCATCACTACATACTGCGAATAATTAGTGAAATTATTATGGAAATGATGTATGGTCTGTCAGATTGTCTGTTTGCATTTCATTCTTGATCAGACAGCAAGTGAACAGGATCCAAAGACTGTATTCTCTACTGACAGTTAGTCAGAGGACCTGGCCGAGAGGAGGACTCTACTGACAGTTAGTCAGAGGCCCTGGAGGAGAGGAGGACTCTACTGACAGTTAGTCAGAGGCCCTGGAGGAGAGGAGGACTCTACTGACAGTTAGTCAGAGGCCCTGGAGGAGAGGAGGACTCTACTGACAGTTAGTGCAGGCCCCTGGAGAGATTGGGACTCTACTGACAGTTAGTCCATCGGCCCTTAGGAGAGAGTACTCTACTGACAGTTAGTCCAAGCCCTTGGGAGAGGAGGAAACTCTACTGGACCAGTTCGTCACGGGCCCTTGGAGGTAGGAGCGACTCTACTGACAGTTGTCAGAGGCCCTGAGGAGAGGAGGACTCTATGAACAGTTATTCAGAGTCCCTGGGGAGGAGAGGATACGACTTCTACTGAACATTTAGTCGAGGCCCCTGGAGGATCGGAGGACTCTACTGACTTAGTCAGAGGCCCATGGCCAAGAGAGGACTCCTACGGACAGTTAGTCATAGTCCCTGGGGAGAGGAGGACTCTACTGACAGTTTATCACAGGCCCTGAGGACGATGAGGACTCTACTGCCAGTTAGTCAGAGGCCCCTGGCGGAGAGAGGACTCTACTGCAGTTAGTCAAGGCCTTGAGGAGAGGAGGACATCTACTGACAGTTAGTCAAGGCCCTGGCCCAAGAGGGGACTCACTGCCAGTAGTCAGAGGACCTGAGGGAGGATGACTCCTACTACAGTTAGTCAGAGCCCTGGAGGGAGAGGAGGACTCCTACTCGACAGTTAGTCTAGAGCCCTGGAGTGAGAGGTAAGGACTTCTAGCTGACAGTTTAGTTCAAAGCCCTGGAGGAAGAGGAAGGATCTACTGACATTATTCAGCGGCCCTGGAGGATAGTAGGACTCTACCTGCTTAGTCGAGGCCCTGTAGGAAGGAGATCTACTGACAGTTAGTCAGAGCGCCTGGGAGGAGAGGAGTACTCTACTGAACATTTAGTCAAGGCCCTGGGAGGAGAGGAGGACTCGACTACTGCCATTTAGTCATAAGGCCCCTGGAGGAGAGTATTACTCTACTGATCAGTACAGAGGCCCCTGGAGAGAGGAGACTCTCCTGAATTTATTCCAGGTCCTGGAGGATAGAGGACTCTAACTGACAGTAGTCCAGAGTCCTGGCCAAGAGTAGGACTCTACTGCAGTTAGTCAGACGGCCTGGAGGAGAGATGTACCTCTACTGTACAGTTAGTCATAGGCCCTAGTCAGGAGTAGGACTCTACTGACAGTTTTTCAAGGCCTATAGGATGACTCTACTACAGTTGTCAGGGCCTGGAGGAGCAGGGATTACTCTACTGACATTAGTCCCAGGCCCTGGCCACTAGGAGAGACTCTACTGACATTTAGTCGACGCCCTGGAGGAGAGAGGACTCTACGACCGTTTAGTCAGAGCCCTGGAGGAGAGCTGGACTCTACTTACAGTTAGTCAGAAGAGGCCCTGAGTGAAGAGGAGGACTTACGAACAGTTATTCATATGTCCTGTCGAGAGGAGAATCTACTGACAGTTCGTCAAGCCTGGAGGAGAGGACCTACTGACAAGTTTCTCAGAGGCCCTGGGGAGAGGAGGCCTCTACTGACACAGTAGTCTGGGCCCCCCTGGCTGAGAGAGGAACTCTCTGAAGTTAGTCAGAGGCCCTGGAGGAGAGGAGGCACTCTACTGACAGTATGTCAGGGCCCTTGAGGTCGAGTAGGACCTACACAATTAGTCAAGGTCCTGGTCGAGAGGAGGCACTCTACGGAACAGTTAGTCAGAGCCATGGAGGGAGAGGACTCTACTGACAGTTAGTCATAGGCCCTGGGAGGAATGAGGACTCTACTGACATTTAGTCATAGGCCCTGGAGAGAGAGGTACTCTACTGACCAGTTTAGTCAGAGGCCCTGGCCAGAGGAGACTCTCTGACAGTATCCGGGAGAGTGCCTGGATGATAGGAGGCCCTCTACTGACATTTAGCAGAGGCCCTGCGGAGAGGAGGACTCTACTGACAGTTAGTCGAGGTCCCTCGATCGAGAGGAGGCTCTACTGACAGTTAGTCGAGGCCCTGGAGAGAGGACTCCTACTGGAAGTTAGTCAGAGCGGCCCCCTGGAGGATAGGAGGACTCTTACTGACAGTTTTAGTCATAGTCCCTGAGGAGAGGAGGCCTCTACTGCATTATCAGAGGCCCCTGGCCAGAGGAGGCTATACGGACGTTAGTCAGAGCCTGCCAAGAGAGGACCCTTACTGGCCAGTTAGTCAGGCCCTGGAGGAGAGGAGGACTCTACTGACAGTTAGTCAGAGGCCCGGAGGAGAGGGACTCTAACGATGTTATCCAGAGGTCCCCCCCTTGCCAATAAGAGGAGGACTCTACTGACGTTAGTCATAGGCCCTGGAGAGAGGTGGACTCTACTGACAGTTAGTCCAAGGCCATGAGGAGAGGATACTCTACTGACATTAGTCAGAGGCCCTCTGGAGAGAGGAGGATCTACTGACAGTTTAGTCAGAGGCCCTGGAAGATAGGAAGGACTCTACTGACAAGTTTAGTCAGAGGTCCGGGAGGAGAGGAGGACTCTACTGACAGTAGTCGGGCCCGGTCAGAGGGGCTCTACTGACATTTATTCTAAGGCCTGGAGGCAGAGGACTCTACGACTTTATCAGAGCCCTGAGAGAGGAGGACTCTACTGACAGTTAGTCAGAGGCCCTGGAGGAGAGGAGGACTCTACTGACAGTTAGTCAGAGGCCCTGGCCAAGAGGAGGACTCTACTGACAGTTAGTCAGAGGCCCTGGAGGAGAGGAGGACTCTACTACTGACAGTTAGTCAGAGGCCCTGAGGAGAGGAGGACTCTACTGAGAGTTAGTCAGAGGCCCTGGAGGAGAGGAGACTCTACTGACAGTTTTACAAAATCCTGGCCCAAGATAGACTCTACTGACAGTTAGTCCATAGGCCTGGAGGAGAAGGAGGACTCTACTGAAATTTAGTCAGCAGCCCTGGTAAGGAGAGGATTGACTCTACTGACAGTTTAGATCAGGAGGTCCCTGGAGGAGAGGAGGACTCTACGTCTACTGACATTATCTCCCAGAGGCCCTGGAGAGATGATTTACTTCTACTGACAGTATCAGAGGCCCTGGAGGAGATTGACTCTACTGACGGTTAGTCATAGCCCTGGAGGAGAGGAGGACTCTACTGACCAGTTATCAGAGTTTCCTGTTCTAGAGGAGGACTCTCTTACGGTTAGTCAGAGGCCCTGTACGGAGAGAGGATCTACTGACAGTTAGTCCATGAGCCCTGGAGGAGCGGAGGACTCTACTGACCTTAGTCAGAGGTCCTGTCAGAGGAGGACTCTACTGACGAGTTATTCAGAGGCCTGGAGGATAGGAACCTACTGACAGTTAGTCAGAGCCCTGGAGGTAGGAGGGCTACGGACAGTAGTTCGAGGCCCCTGGAGGAGAGGAGGACTCTACTGACAGTTAGTCAGAGTCGCGTGGGCCAAGAGGAGGCTCTCTGCAGTTAGTCAGAGGCCCTGGCCAAGAGGAGGACTCTACTGACAGTTAGTCAGAGGCCCTGGAGGAGAGGAGGACTCTACTGACAGTTAGTCAGAGGCCCTGGAGGAGAGGAGGACTCTACGGAACGTTAGTCCGAGACCCTTGCCAAGGAGGACTCTACTGCACATTATTCAAGGCCCTTGAGGAGAGGAAGGACCTAACTGACTTTGTCAGAGGCCCTGGATGAGAGAGGACTCTAATGACATTTAGGCAGGGTCCTGGTCTCAGGGACTCTACTTGACTTAGTCCAGATGCCCTGAGAGAGGAGGCTCAACTGACCGTTAGTCAAGCGCTCCTGAGGATAGAGGACTCTCTGACAGTTATGCAGAGGCCCTGGTTCCCAAGAGGAGGACGCTAGCTGACAGTTATTCAGGAGGCCTGAGGGAGGACTCACTGACAGTTAGTGAGGCCCCTGTATGAGAGGCACTCTACTGACAGTTAGCCGGACCTGGAGGAGAAGAGGACTGCTACTGACAGTTTAGTCAGAGGCCCCTGTCCAAGCGGAGAGGACTTACTGACCGTTAGTCCAAGGCCTGGAGAGAGGAGGACTCTACTGACGTTAGTCAAGGCCCGGGAGAGAGGTACGCTACTGAGCAGTTAGTCAGGAGGCCCTTGAGGAGGGAGGACTCTACTGACCAGTTTTCAGTTTCCTGTCGGGAGGGAGGACTCTACTGTACATTTAAGGTCAGAGCCTCGGAGGAGAGGACTCTACTGACAGTTAGTCCGAGGCCCCTGGAGGGAGAGGAGGACTCTCTGACATTTAGTCAGAGGCCCTGTAGGAGAGGATGACCTACTGCAGTTAGTCAGCGGCCCTGGAGAGAGAAGGACTCTACTGACAGTTGTCAGAAACGAGGCCCTGGGCAGGAGAGGAGGACTCTCACTTCTACTGACAGTTGTTCAGGTTCCTGGTCG